AAGGGAAGGTAAGAGGTGAGAGCAGAAATGTTACAGAGCAGAAAAGATGCTTGACCTGAACCTGAGAACCAACTCAGGTACGTCCTTTGCAGTTTTTATAAAGAGACAGCAGGAAAAGCATGCTAAGCAAAGCAAATGCAAAGAAACAAAAGCATTAAATTATACAAGAATTGTGGGTTTAGTGTATCTAAAATATAGCTTCTACATTACCAAACTAGAGAGCTTAGACTTCATTTTGTTGGGACTGGAGAGCAGCAAATCCTTCCGGGGACAGACAGGGTTATTAGAACAGTTCTGGTATTCGATACAAAGGATAGATTTCAGTGCACAGAACAGGGACCAGAAGAGACGAATTAGCAAATCGGCTTTTTCAGCAAGCCAGGGAGAGGCCTTGAAAGTATCCAAAACAATGAGTAAGACAGATTAATCCTAGAGACTAGGAAAAGCCGTGATCAGTCCATAAAAGTCAATTATTGAATAAATATGAAAACTGAGCAAAGAATGCAAGTTTTCTAACACAACTGTACAAAAGACTGGGGTGAGGACGATGAAGTTTAAAGTAGTGGCATATTTAGTTTGGTAGGAACGCAAATGAGCAACACTTAGACACAGTATATTTAAGATTGCCTTTTAAAGATGGATTTATCCCTGAAACAGAGGCCTGAAGCTCAATACAATGAGTCTAAAGAATCAGATCTTGGGGCTGGCATGTGATTAAGCCTCCACTTGGGACTATGGCAACCACTGTCACTGGTTTAAGTTCAGGTTGCTTCACTTCCGATCCAGCTGCCTGCCAACGTGCCTAGGAAAAGCAGTGGAAGACGGCCACTGCTTAGGCCCTTGCACCTATGTGGGAGACCTGGAAAAGGCTCTGGTGCCTTTGTTTCAGGCTGGCCCAACCTTGACTGTTGCAGCCATTTGGGGAATAAACCAATAGATGAAAAGTCTCCTCCCAACCATGCCTTTCAAATAAACTTTAAAAAAGCTTCGATTTGGATCTGACATATACTGTAAAGTTACAACCAGAACAAAACAGCAGGAAACACTAAAGCAACGTCCTCATGTACTAAATTTGTATGGTAACTTAGGATGCTCAAGTCACAACTTCACATTAACTCCATTTAAGCAGATGAGTAAAATGAAATTCAGAAAAACAAAATGACAAACACTGAAAATTGAATACTGAAAGCTATGAAATGCTTCGGGGAAATGCTACGTAGGAATGCAACAAGCAAATTTTGTTGTGCAAAAAATCATTTGGGACAGACTACAAAAGAAAGACTAAAAGATGACAATTCAGGATAAAATAAAGCCCAAACTAAAGCAGCATTATTGAGATAAACAAGACAATGACATGCAGTGTATATAGAAAAGGCAGAATATAGTGGACTTCTCCCACATTTACTACAGTATTATTCACAATAAGTAAGAAATGGAAATCATATGATCATTAACAAACGAAAGAAGAAAATGTGGTACTTATTTCGCTCCGTCATGGACAAAATCTTGTCATCATGAACATGTGTGGAATGGGAGGTTATTATGTTAACTGAAATAAGCACATAGAGAAACAACCACTTGCTCTCACTCGTACATGAACTCTCCAAAGAAAAAAAAAAAAGGTTATTTCACCAAGGTTGACAGGATAATAATGAATACCAAAGGATCAAAAGGAAAAACGTAGTGAAGACAGGGTTGTCAAAGACTAGCTAATGCTTCTTACATCACGGCTGAGCAGGAGTAAAGTTGGGGGATTCTACTACATGGCATAAGTACGAATATGTTAAGGTGCTATACTGCAGCCACGAGGGAGACTGGAAGAAGCTTCTGATTGGCCCAAGCCAGGCTGCTGTGGTCATTTAGTTGGGGAGTTGGGGTGGTATGTAAACCATGGGATGCAAGATTTTGCTATCTCCTCTTTTCTCTCTGTAATCCTGTTTCTCAAATAAATCTTAGAAGAGTTTAGTTCCAGGAGTCAGTTATTGTAAAAATATCAAATCTGCCCACATAAGAATGTATAGGCAAGCAAACTTTTCTTTTTCTTTTTCTGTTTAAGTCCACAACTACTCGCCGGATTACCTACGGTATTTAAAAGGCTGTACAGCTTTGGAGACTGCAGTACATGGGATGCTGGCATCTTAGAACACCTGACTCCTGCTCCATTTCTGATTCCAGCTTCCTGCCAACTAGCACCCTGAGAGGCAGGGGCTGCACAGGGCTTGGATCTCAGCCACCCTATGTGAGGATCAGACTGAATTTCCTGTTGATTTAAGCCTGGCCCTGACAGGGGTACTGTAGGCATTTGGGAAATAAACCAATGCATGTAAGGAGTCTGTATAATCTAGAGTTAGGGTTAATTCATCAACTGGTAAAAAAATTTCTTAATTTGATGAAATAGGTAACTGGATGGGAGTAGCACAGGGAGGTTTCAATTCCAATGAAGAATATATATTTAATACCTAATAATCATGCATTTTGAATTTGACTACAGAATTGTTTTGGGAATCTTAAATCTCAATAAAGTCGGTCTCTAACAACAACAACAAAGATGAAGTGGTGAAGTTAACAGTAGTGATAAAAAGGGTTTGTAAAAGCTTGCTCTCAACAATACATTATATTTATTGATATGAGATGTACTGGACACATTAAAACAAAAGCACATAAACACACTTGAAAGCTAAACACGGAAGCCAATGCATTGGCACAAGCTAATCCTCCACCTTCAGGTGCCAGCATCTCATGTGGATGTCGGTTCTTGTCCCTGGTTGCTCCACTTCCGATCCAGCTTCCTGTTTACTGTCTAGGAAAGCAGTGGAGGACGGCTCGATGCCTTGGAATCCGACAACTCTTGTGGCAGACCTGGAAGGAGCTCCTGGCTCCTGGTTTTGGTTTGGCTTGGCTCTGTACATTTTGGGAGTGAATCAGTGGATGGAAGATCTTTCTGTCGCTCCTCCTCCCTGTAAATCTGCCTTCCCAATAAAAATAAATCTTCAAAAAACACATAAATTATGTTTCACTTATCCCTGACAATTTCATATTTCATCTTACTGAAAGATTCAAAAGAGAAAATAAAAGGTCAAGATGTGATCTTCAGCAATTCTGTTCACTGGTATGTGTAATTAATATGAAAAGGTACATTACTACCATATGTACATAATACTGACTCAGAATACTATCTGTAAGCATACAGAAATGAGAAATGAATTTATCAAGGAATAGCTTTTGAGATAAGGAGTCAATAAGATGTCCACCCTTGCTGAATACTGATGCCCCGCATCCATTAGCATGCCAGAACCAACACCAAATGAAAACTATGGAAGTTTATCAAGGTTTCTGATCTGTGTTCTCAGCCACACCAGTGTTTGGAGGTTAAGATTCTGTCACACTGTAGATGGAAGATGAAACACTTTACAAAAACTTGGTGATTAAACTCATAAGATTTAGAAAAGAGGAGAGAAAATACTATTTTCGTCATAGAAGAAAGGACAGTTTACTGGTCTCAATTTATGCTGCCTCCATTCTTCAGGATTATTGTACATTCCAAATCATTTCTCTTTTTCCCCATTTACCAATCCACAAATAAATCCTAAAGCAGTAGGTGGCTGGCTGGGACACAATCACAACAGAGGCAAAAATTGCCTGATATTAGGGGTGAAGGGCACAGAGTTTGGTGCCAACCTTGATGTTGAATCCTGTGCTGCCACTCACCAATGTTTAAGTATGAATTCGCGACCTCACTGCGGCAGTCTGATAAGAATCAGACCTAACTGCACGGTAGGGTTGCTGTGGGGATTAACTGAACACCAAAAACACTTAGAATAGTGTCTTGAACTACTTAAGTATTTACAAGGTACACACCGCAAAATACCCGAATGCAAAGAGAAGACTGTTCTTTCTTCAGGTCCCCAGCCTAACGTACAGAGTGAAGCAGAACAAAGTTTATGTACTGTCAGGTGCATCCCTTGTAATATTAAAATCCAGCAAAATCTTCTTTGAAATGCACAAGAATGGATCATCACACTCAGTTTTTTGTTTTTGTTTTTTTTTTTTTTTTTTAATTTTAAACCACGAAAGGAAGCTTTGTGTGGTTCATTAGGACAAATATAGTCAGATGTTAATAGGGAAAGTGGGGTTAGGAGTACATGGGAACCTCACCACTTCCCAATTTTTGTTCTGGAAATTTAGAAAGAAAAATGCTATTCTGAAACACTGTAAATACACAAATTATATTAGTGAACTCAAACAAAGAAAATAGTATTTTCGCTATCAAGAGAAAACATTTTCCCTACTCCACCCACAATAACTGAAACAAGTACATTCAATTGATTCTGCATATTTAAAGCAAGCAATGAAAGGAGTTGAAATAATTCAAAACACATAAAGAAAATTTCAGATAGTACAACAGCTCTTCAAAAGATTCAAACACGATCACTTGGAGATTCCTATCACAAAGCTGATGTTAATTTCTAAGTGTATCATGAAGTCCTTAAAAGTTTAAGTAACTTAAGTATAAACATATACATAAACATGTGGCTGTTCAGAAATGTTACTGAAAAAGATTCTCATTAAAATATATATACTGAAAGATTTCCAAAACAATTAATCCTTCAGCTAATATTATATTCTTACAAACACTATGTCTAGGCCCTGAAGCTTTGCGAAACCGGTGCAAGGATTTGATCTACACGAAGGCACTTTACAAAAAGCCCACGGAAGCGGGATTCATACCGCAGACATAGCGTTCAAATGCAGACCTACTGTTTCCTTGATATTGATTTTCTACAAAGGTAGACAGTCATTTTCCGTAAAGGTAGCCCTATGCTTGTCAGCGCTCCGCATGGCCTTCGTTTCCCAAACCGTGCAGAAGATTTTCACTGAAACACTCTTTTGAAAGGGCTGCCTTAGCTTTATTTTTAATCATGTCAGACAAGCCAAAACTGTAATGTTTTCTGAATATAGAGAATGCAGCCAAATAAAAGAATGAAAGCCAACAAACTTACTTGGGAAACACTGGTTCATAAAGGTACTTGTCCCCTCTTGCAGATGTCATATGAAAAAACAAGATGTAGCCATTTGCCGTCTGAAAGAGAAAATGTCATTAACCATGAATGAAAAAATATGGCTAGGATTATAATCCTGAGTTTTCTCACTTACTATAAAATAATCCCTCTTAAGACCTTTCCTTCAGAAAATTAGTCTAATAAGTTCATTAAAATCAACTTTAAAAGATGTGTAAAGATCTGAAAATATTTCAACAGTTCACAAAATATTAGATATTCTGATAATTGGATTATTCAGTGGCAGATAAAAGACTATTTTGCAAGACAGATCTTTTTTTAACTCTGCAAAGGTTATTCTAAGCTAATTATTCCAAACTTTTAGAGCAACAATACCACTATATAGTAATAGTAAGACAAAATGCTTGGTTACTCAAAGTTTACACAGCAGTAACTTCAGAATAGCATTTATTAAAAAACAAATCAAGCAATATATATATCTAGTGCAAAATAAAAGACTGAGTGAGAGTGTTACATATATCTTGACATCAGGATGTCATGATACACTTAAATAGAAAAAGATGGACTCGTGACTGTTGCTGGAGGATTGCACTATTATAATATGCGGGAAACACTTGCAGGAATGGGGCTGGTGAGAGGAGAACGTTTTTCTCCAACTGTTCTATTCTGCTACTGAGTTCTTCCCATTGTTCAGGCCAGTGGGCATTTACCCATCGTAGAACCAAAGAAAAGGTCAAAGGTCACCAATTCCTTCCTAGCACAACTTCAAGTTTTTCAAAGGAATGACACAGTCACCACTCCAGTTTCTTCAGTAAAGCCAGGCTGTTATTAATTTTTTTCCTAACTGTAACCGTTACTATTTTTCAACATACTCAAAAACGAAAGCTCAGGGCCAGTGCAGGTTAGCTACCACCTGCCACACCAGCATCCTAGATGAGCTACTCCATTTCTGCTCCAGCTGCCAGCCTGGGAGAGGGAGAACAGGATGGCCCAAGGCTCCGGGCAGAATGTGGCTGACACAGTGGGTCACCACAGCCAAGGCAGGCATGGGAAGTTGATGCCTCATGTTTCTGCCCATGCTCTCGTTGGACCAGCTCTGTTTTTGGGGAGAGGCAGAGCCCTGAAAATAGGTCTCATCAAGCTACGTGATTTTGCCCTAGTCCAACAGGGAGGCCTGTAAATTAGCCTCCCCTAATCCAGGTCAGGGATTAGGGACAATGGGCCTCTGGCCACAATGGGCTGCTGCCTCCAGGGGGGCTGCGGGGTGCTGGGCCTGTGACCACAGGTGGGCAGCTACCTCCAGCAAGGCTGCTGGATGCTCAGCCTGTATGCGGCCACATCCAGCAAGGCTGTGGGGATGGGGACCAGGGGCTGCTAGGCCTATGACTATGGCTGGGTAGCCTCCTCCAGAGAGCCTGCGCAGCTGCTGGGCCTGTGGCCACAGCTCAGTGGTTGACTCCAGAGAGCCGGTGTTGCAGGGCTGCTGGGCCTGTGGCCAGGGCTGGGCGGCCACCTCCAGTAATGTTGGAGGGGTGGGGGTGCAGTTCGCACCAGAAATACATCTTTCAGGAGCCCAGCCACCTCCCTGCTGGCCTGCACTGAGGCTGGGCAGTCCAGGAGCTCACTGTCTGGGAATCCAGGAGTTGGATCCTAGGCTGGGGCTGCAGTTACGGCGGGTTCCCAAGATGCTGAAGTGGTCTGCAGGGTGCCCTCACCCAGGGAACGGGACTCGGATACTCAGCGGAGCTCTGATCTGCACACACAGGGGACACTGCCTCCACCTTACCTCCATGCGGGTCAGGGAGCCCAGGAATGGGATTGGGAGAGCAGCCAAGAGGCACAGGGTCAGTTGCTGCTTGGTGCACCCACCTGGGAGATCCGGAAGAAGTTCCTGGCTCTGGACTGGCTCTGCTCTGGCCTTTGCGGCCACTTGGGGAGTGAACCAGATGAAGGAAGATCTTTCTGTATCTCCTTTCTGGAAATCTGCCTTTGCAATAAAACAAAGTACTTTTTTAAAAGTCCTGAGAATTCATTAATTCCCTTATTTGTATGTTAGAGAAACCAAAAGAAGTCAATATTAGCAGATATACTTGGAATGAATAGTGCCATCTACTGTTTCTTCATTGACAGACAGCGTATTATCATTTTCGCACCCTGATAGTTCACCCTCAACAGACTGCTCACCAGTGGGCTCTGCAGGGCCGGGTCTGTTCTGATGGCCACCTGCGGCTCCAGCCCACACAAACTGAATCCCCCACCCCCCAGAGCATGCGCACATAGCGTCTTGCCTGCACTTCCAGGCCAAAACAGTAGTTATGGGGCCTCCAGCACTCTCAACCCTGCTCCCTCAGCAACCTGCTGGCCCACAAGGCGCTGTAATCCTGGTGCTTTCTTAGGCAAACCTGCAGCACCAGCCCACAGGACCTGAATCCCCTGCCTCACAACATGCCCATGCTGCCATCCCGCCTGGCAATAAAGGGCCAAAGGGGCTCTGGCAGGGCCTTCCACACTCCCAGGTTGTCTACCAGCCTCTCCAGAGCCGCTAGAGCTCAGCTGGCATTCCACAAGCCTGAGGCCACTGCCTCCCATATCCACTGCAGTAGGGCAAGGTGGGCTTCTCAAGCAACCCACACCCATCCCGCTCCCACAGCCACCTGCTGCCTCCTCCAGGGCCATTCCGGCTTGCCAGTGCCCCTGCACATTGTGCAAGCCCACCACATGCCCCCTTGCTGCCACAGGGCCACACCTCCTTTGGCAGCAGCCATCACATCCCCAGCCTTTCTGTCTTTCACTGCCGTGCCAGGCCAGTTTGGCCAACAGGCCCTAGACACAAAGCGCGCCTGCCTGCCATCTGGCTTGGTGCTCTAGGCTTGGTGAGCTGTTGCCAGAAACACCTCTAGCTTGGCGTGGATGCTACCCTGCTGCTGCTCCAGGGCAATTGGTCTTGGCCTGTCACCCCAATCCCTCAGCTGACTGCTTGCTGTATGCCTAACTAGGGCCAGGCCAGTTCTTCTGGTGGCACTACAGCCCCAGCTGGCATGCCCGACCACACTGTACTCCAGACCCAGGCTCACTTGCCGTGGGCCAACCACATCTCCAGCACTCCCACTGTGGCCAGTTCAAGAGGCACAGGCCAGCTCTGCCTATGAGCTCTGTCTGACTCTCCAGGCCATCTGCCTAGATGCTCGCAGGCTGCTCCATGGCCAGGGAGGCTCACCAGACACTCCACACCACAGCATGGCACCCTGCTCCCCGACCTGCTTCACAGCCACACAGGCTCCTGCAGCACCTCCTACACACAAGGCCACATGCCAGCTGATCTAGAACCAGTAAAGCTCAGCTGCCTGGCACCAGGGATCCCAGGTGCACCCATTCCATCGGCCTTTACACTGACCCAGGGCCAGTTGGCTCAGCAAGGGACCTCTCCCTCACATGGCTCATTGCAGACCAGCCTCTCTGGGGACAGTGCCATTCTCCTGGGTCTCTGGGGCCCCAGACAGTATACACTGAGGTCCTGCTTGCCACTTACTCCAGGGTCAACCTTGATTGGCAAGTGCCAGACATGCCTCTAGCCTGCCAGGTCCACCACCCTGCTGCTGCTCAAGGGACAGCTGAGTTTGGCTATCTACCCAGTTTCCTCAGCAAACCACATGCTGTATATGCCACTCTAGGGCGGGGCCCATTCTGCTGCCAGCACTGAGGAACCAGCCAGCACGAACCTCCAATTCCCCAGCATCTCAGGGCCAGGATAATGGGGCCCTGGGTCCTCAGTGCCACCAGCACTCATGGTGTGGTCACTGCAACAGGCACAGCTCCCTCAGCAGGTGACCCCTATACCTCTAGCTCACCCACCCAGCTGCCTCATCAGCAGCTCAAGGTCCACATGGCCTCAGCCAGTGCCTCCCATGCTCATGGGCCAGGCCCCTCCCAGGAGGGTTCAGCCGACCCCACATACATCCAGTCAGGACACACCAACACTCTGATTGCTGTTCCAGGACCACGTAGGCTCAGCTCATGCAGTGCTCCAGAGCAAGTGGAGATCAGCCAGCAATCCTACTCCCTCAGCAGACCACTCAGCTGCCTGCTATTCAGAGCCAGCCCATTCTGCCAGGGACCCTGTGGCCCCGGTGGGCACTCCCTGTCACTCAGCTTGGCACTCTAGGGCCAGGCTGACACTGGACCTTCTGTGCTGTAACACACTCCCACAGACTGCTGGCCATGACAACTGGGCCTCTAGGGCACCACACTGCTCCATACCAACTACTATAGGACCAGATCCCTGCACTTCTAACCCACAGGCTGCTCCAAGGCCAGGCAGACACAGGTGGCGTGTCTAATGTTCCTAGATCCTGCCTGCCTGGCTGCCCTGCAGGGTGTTCCAGGACAACGCAGGCTCAGGAGGTTCTACCCTCCCCCCAGTACCCCAAGCCTGTCCACCATCCACTCCGGAGCCAGGCCAGCTGGCTGACACCCCTCCAGTTCCCAGCCTGCCACCTGGACTTCTAGCCAACCCCACCAACATCACTACCCCACCAACTGTTCCAGGCACATGTACACTCAGCCATCCACCTGCTCCCTCAGCAGGGCTGCCCACTGATCTAGGCCTGGGCCCATCTGACAGCAATCTATAGCACCAGCCCATAGGATCTGAATCCCCGGGCCCAGAGCATGCCCACATCTGAGGGGAGCAGGGTGCCAAAGCACGTCCCAGGAATAGGAAAGGCCCTCTCAGGATGGCAGCTTCCCCAAGGCCAGGAGGCGAGGTTGGTCTCACCAGCAGGCAAACCGGAAGTCACAAGGACAGCCAGATGCCCTCGCTGCAATTATGTCATTGCAACTGGCCTATCAGGTAGCACCAAGTGGACCCACAGGGAGAAGTGATTGGTGCAGAGCGGTATAAAAGCAGCCGCTAAAAGCTATAAGATGGACCAGTAAAAGAACCACGGATGGAATGAGAAGAATGGGGCAGCAGAGAGGGGTAGAAAAGCTAAGCAAAAAACTAAGGCATTGGAGGGAGAAAAAGCAGCAGAGAGGGGTACAAAAGCAATAAGGCCTACGAGGAGAAGAACAGGGAAAA